GTGCACCATCATGCCCGGCCTTATATGACTCTTGAATGTAGTCCTATCCTGAATAACTCTTGGGTATTAAAAATAATTGAACTCAAGTATTAATAAAATTGAAAAAGGGAAAACTAAATTTAATTAAAAATAGCAAAATAATCGGCCGGGAGTGGTGGCTCATGCCTGTAATCCCAGTATTTTCGGAGGCCACGGCAGGCAGATCACCTGAGGTCAGGAGTTCGAGAACAGCCTGGCCAACATGGCGAGACCCCATCTCTACTAAAATTACAAAAAATTAGCCAGGCGTGGTGGTGTGTACCTGCAGTCCCAGCTACTTGAGAGGCTGAGGCACGATATCTTGAACCTCGGAGGCGGAGGTTGCAGGGAACTGAGATGGCGTCACTGCCCTCCAGCCTCGGGCACAGAGCGACACTCTGTCTCAAAAAAACAAAAAACAAACAAACAAAAAAGTAAAATATTCTACAAAGAGGAAAAGCTCAAAAAGCCACCAAGAAAAAATCATTTAGTTGGTTAAGGGGTCACTAACCTTATACTCTGATTAGAAATTTTTTAAATTACCTAAGTATATCAGCTAAGTCATCCAATCCTTTCACACCCACCACCCCAAACAGACACAGAAAGCAGCCAAGATATTCACTTTCAAGAAATGTCTAATAAAAATTATTTTTACCTGTAAATTGTTTTCTGTGACTCTGTTCCACCAAACCATATTGATGGGTACTCCTGATTTACACCTGTCAGCAAGGCAGCCAATAGGGTTCTTTGCTTTTCGTGCCTTTGATCCCATCGGAACTAGCCTCTCCTCCAGCATCCCCAGGCGATACTTCCTTGGCTAGGAAAAAGAAGGAAAGAAACCAGGCCACTCCTAACATCCCCCACACTAATCTAAGCTAACATAACTAACATATAGAGGATACTGGGAATGGTGGGATAGGAAACAAGTTTCTAAAACACTCCTTCTAATATCCTTACCACCACCCACCATCTCCCACCCCAGTATCAAACCCACATCTCCAAAATAACCCCCAGTCCTAATGGGCTAAAAAATATTATATAAAGCAACAAATGTTTTTAGAAAAATACATTTTAATCTGATTGTATACAACTTTACTTAATGAACAGAAATTCAACTTATCAGCCAAGAAAAATGCTTTGCAAATTTTTTTCTACTGTCACTTACCTATTCTCACTGCAATACAAAGAAATGGTTTCAAGGGTACAGAATACAGATTTTTTTTTTAAGTTCACCAAACTACAACTTTTTCAGCTCCCCATCTTGTTACTTTATTTCCTACTGAGAACTAATCCACTTTTTAAAAAGCAATTGATTCCTAATAAATTGATTTTTTTAAAATTTTAATTCTATGCACATTAGACTTGAATATAAGTCACTCTATCTTAAATAGGCATTCAACCTAAAGTATTCAATGAAAAAAAAAACATTCAGACTAAAAAACAACAACAACAAAACAATAACACAAATTTAACTGGTCTTTTAAATCTCAATAATATGAACAGACTGATAATGAATAAATTATTCAATAAAATCATAAATTATTTGCCTAACATTGTAAGAAAATTAATAAACCATCTTAATAGTGGTTAGCAGGACTTCCGTTCATGAAAAATTAGTGATTGTTTCCACCATTTTACTTCTCTTAATTACAGCAAATATGCACTACACTGCATCTTAAGGAAAATTTATATATATATTTTTCCCTTCAGAAAATACTAACTCATGCTTGGGAAGGTAACTAATTTAAACTCTGAAATAAGAAAATATATGTTTACTCATTGCCCTGTCATGAGGTATAAGACTGCTGAAACAAAGAGTTAAAATTAAGTTTCTTCAAAAAAAGATGCTGGT